CCAGCATTCTATTGTGATAGAGTTAAGGGTGGAAGCAAACCAAAATAATAGATAATTGATATTGTTAATTAAGAAATTAAATAAAAAATAACTCAGGACGAATCCCGCCCAGCATAAGGCAGACACTTCGGGAAGAAACTTCCCGCCCAAGCTTAAAACCGAAAATTATGTTCAACTCAAGCTAGTCTTATGTATCAAATACTAGTCTATTTAAATAGTCATAACCCTAACCCTAATTATAATCCTAATGAAATTCTAAGCAAATGGGCCCAAAAGCCCAATTATTGAACTATACTAAATAACAATTGATCTCCAACAATTCTCCCCTTTTCCATTGTTCAAAACAGCTTTGTCCCCAAGGTTGTAGATCAACTTCAAAATACACATATCTTTACTGCAACGAGACAAATTGTTGTTGCCCAAGTTGGCCCTTTTCCACTGTTCAAAACAGCTTTGTCCCCAAGGCTGTAGATCAACTTCAAAATACACATATCTTTACTGCAACGAGACAAATTGTTGTTGCCCAATCCAACTTTGTAGGGTCACGCAATTCATTTTTTTTTTCCAATTGCCTTTTTTCTTTTAGTTTCCTGGTGACTTGGACACGTATACCTAGTAGGTATCTGCCGTCTTCGATTTACCACAACTCGCCTCGACTAAGCCTCCGTGCGCTTAGTACGGTTCTTTAGAACTCGACGAAACCATGACTGCCGTCGACAACTGTCGCACCGGGTCCTTCGGCAAGACCAGGATTCCTCTGGCCCACCCCCATGATTTGCAATTCGATAGGATCACACATCACCTATGCGGTCGTGCTCCGCCATCATCATCTTCCCAATCCGTCGCGACCATGCCACCTCCGTTCGTAATGGTTCAAATCACGGACGACTGGACGATTCTCGGCCCGACTTCTCCTTTGTGTGACGAGCTTCACATTGCAACGAAACCATGTCGCTTTATGTCGAGATATATCAACTCTTGGTCTTTCACGAAGGTCCTTCATCTGTCTCATATCGTTGCTAATCAATATAACGTGACGTTTTACCAACCCCAGATTCGTTGTTATGGAGAGACGTGTAGGTAGTGCATGTAAGGTACTCGCCATTTAGAGAGTAGGTGTAGGTGCTATAGTAGCCACCACGAAAAGAGAATTGAAGAGAGATCCACGCATTTTGTTATGCCAACACAACTCTGTCGTTGATGACGGTGATTGATAAAGAGAACTGTGATTTAGAGAGTAGCTTCAACAACTCTTCAATTCAGCTAAGTTATACCAACAAACGATGCATAGCTGTCGTTGATGACATAACATCCCGATACATAGTTGTCGTTGATGACGTAACATCCTTCTCTATCTTGTCAAAGCATTTCTCCATATGCGACAGTAATTGATAGAGTTAAGGGTGAGAGCAAACGAAATAATAGATAACTGATATTATTAATTAAGAGAAATTAACTCGAAAATAACTCAGGACGGATCTCACAGCCTAAGGCCGACACTTCGGGAAGAAACTTCCCGCCAAGCTTAAAGCCAACAATTCTATTCAACACAAGCTAATCCTATGTATCAAATACCAGTATATTTAAATAGAGTCTAACCCTAGCCCTAGTTATAATCTAATGGATATACTAAGCAAATGGACCCAAAAGCCCATTTATTGAAATATACTAAATAACAATTGATCTCTAGCATATTGTTCTTGGTTTTAGCAATTCTTCTTTTCGTGTAAAGTTAGAGCTGTGGAAAGGACACGTTAGAGTCGAAAGGCTTCAGACTTAGTAGGACGAAGACCGAGTACATGACGTGCGCTTTCAGCACATGATGATGGTGACGTTAGCCTTGACGGGCAAGTGGTGGCCAAGAAGGAGACTTTTCGGTATTTAGGATCAATGCTACAAAAGGATGGTGGCATTGATGAGATGTTAGGCATAGAATTGCAGTCGGTTGGTTGACATGACGTCAAGTTTCGGGCGTTCTCTAAGGCTAAAAAGTAAGTTCATAGGATGGCGATTCGCCCAGCGATGCTATACGGTGCTGAATGTTGGCCTACAAAAAGGCAACATGTCCAACAACTAAGTGTAGCAGAAATGCGTATGTTGCGTTGGTTTTGCGGGCACACAAGAAAGGATATTCGAGATTGGGTCCGGGTGGCTCCATTTGAGGAGAAATTAGTTCAACATCGGCTGAGGTGGTCCGTGACATCCGGACATGTCCAACGGAGGCCTCCCGATGCACCAGTGAGTAGGGGAGTTCTACAGCGTGTCGATGATGTAAAGAGAGGTAGAGGTTGGCCTAAACTCACTTGGGAAGACGGTTAAGAAAGACCTTAAAGACTGGAATATCTCCAAGGATTTAGCGGTGGATAGGAGCGCTTGGAGGCTAGCAATCAACGTGCCAGAACTGTGACTTTTGCTCCTTTCCCTTTTGTCTAATCTCTTCCTTTTGTTTTTGAGCCTTTTTTGTTTTTTTTTCTTACCATTGGTTCTCTGGGGTTTCATCTCTAGCCTACCCCAACTTGTTTGGAATTAAAAGGCTATGTTGTTTTTGTTGTGTAAAGTGATGTCTGATGGGACACATTGGAGTTTCTTGACTCATGCGTCTGAAGCAGAAATGCTATTCTTGTGTTTTTTTGTTGTAGTCAGAAGACCGATAACTATTTCTCAAATTTGCCTTTAGATAAGGTCTAAAGAGGCAATGACCATGCATTTGAAAAGGAAAGTGGTAGGAGACAAATAAGATAGATACTTCCCTTTTTTTCCCCTTGCGCAAGAAAGATAATATGGGGTTGGTTAATAGGAGATCCATAATTTAAAGGGAAGTGTATACTCTATGGATGATATAAAAGAGATCCATAATTTGAGGAAACTGAACTTATGATGTTGTATACTAGAGCTTTAAATAAGCAAAGCTGAGCTCGAGCCGATAACCGAGCTCGATTTCGGCTCGTTTATCAACATTGACGAGCTGACTAAGCTTAAAAAAAAAAGAAAAAGAAAAAAGTAAAAGCCCCTATTCTCAGCCTAATGCGCCTTAATGAGCTCTCTTGTTAATGAAAAGAGCATTAAACAAGTTCAATCATTTACAAGCTGAACTCGAGCCTCAACGAGTCAAGCTAAGAAAATTACCTAGAACCCTGTTCTCGCGCGAGCTCGGTTTGTTAGCTGAATGAGCTTTAAACAAGCTCAAGCTCAAGCAGCTCGATTTCTAACAACTTTAAGTGTACACTCTATAGATGATACAATAATCATGCTTTAATTAATTGTTTTCAATTTTATATCGTCTCATATATTTCGTGCTCATTTATTGGTTACAGGGATTGCTTGTCTATGGCAGAGAAGGTCGTGAAATATTTAGAAGAAATTTGGATGTCAGTATCTGCAGAGAGGTGGGTATAACTTTTTTTGGTACATACTTCTAGATTTAAAATCTGAGCTTTTTTCGTATCATGTTACTGAAACTTTCTTCGTCTATTGCAGGCACTTGTCTACTCTCACAACCACAAAATCCCTATTATTGCCTTTAGTGAGGACAGGTGCTTAACATTGTTCGAACATCCCCTCGTGGAAGCACTTCATACCGTGTATCATGAGCCAAAGGTGTTGAGTGACTTACTCTTCAAACTTTTCTTTTTAAGTGATCTGACATAGGATTTCTTCAAATTCTTTACACATTAAATTTTGTCAACAGGCAGAGATTATACCTTCAGTTGAGCAGCTCCTGGCAGACAAAGAAATACAGGTTTTATTAGCTACTATGAACTGGATTTTTATAATCACTGTCATGTCTCCCAAGCTGATTCTTGATAGGCAAGGTTGGCACATCGTTTGTAATGTGCTAGACATGATAAGCTTATTGGGCCCAAAATTTAATCCAAACAAGACATGGTAATACGTGAAAAGTACGGCATGATGCGATAGAAGCAATATTATTAATTTTATTTCATCACACCCAGAAAGCCAGTTCGCCCCATTATCCCGTATGCACGCGTGTGTGTTTCGATATTAACAACACGTGTGTATGATAACAACACAACACAATAAGCTTATTGGGTCCAAAAATTTAATTCAAAGAAGACATGGAAACATGGAAAAGTACGATATGATGCCATAGACACCACAAGCAAAATTATTAAATTTATTTCATCAAACCCAGTAGCCAGTTCGCCCCATTATCCAGTATGTGTGCGTGTGTGTGTTTCGATATTAAAATGTTGAAATGCATATTCTAATTATTGATAAATCACTGATGTAAGTTGTCAAGTACAATTTCAAAAGTTACAACATGACAAATATATTAGTAATAAACTAAGCCCTTGTTTGCTTTTTGGGATGGGATTGGACTAATTTAGTCCAACTGGATAGGATTGTACTGTTGGGATTGGACTAATCCTATGTTTGTTATATAGAATAAGGAGTAGGATAAGTTTAGATTAAAAATAAAAATAAAAAATGTGTAGATGGTGTAAAATACTTTTATACCCCTTTCTATTAGACCAAAAACCATTCTTCCCCAATTCTCCCACCACAAAAATCGAAATAGTTTTGGTGATGTCATTTTACACCCTTCTCTTGAGAAGCGGATTGAGCAGCTGGCAAGTGCAACAGCAAATACAAAAGCCCATCAGGCACCGTTCAGAAACATGCTCTTTTATGGGCCACCAGGAACAGAAAAAACCATGGCTGCTAAGAAGCTTGCCCGTAAATCTGTGTGACATCATAACCTTTTTCTTCTCATAGGACTTTAGTTAATATAATTGATTGGATAAATATTTGTCTGCATGCTTAGCAAAAGTATTTGGAAAAGCAGAAAATCCTATCTTGGGAAAATAATTGTTTCGTTTATGTTGAAGGATCCAAATAATGAATTATAGGGAAGGTCAAAACTGTCCAAAAATTATTAAAACAAGGGTAAATTCGACTTTAGATCCGTAGGATTGGATTAATCCCATGTAAATGAAGGGATTAAATTATCCTGATTTCATGGGATAATTCACTTTTTATACCGGGCCTAGCCAATCCTGCGGGCTTTAGTCCAGCGAACCAAACACAGGATTAGGCCAGGATTAGGCAGGATATCCTGGCTAATCCTACAAAACAAACAAGGGCTAAGGGTTTGATTGTTTATGAATTATTTCACTCAATTTTATTTCATCTCAAAATCTAACTCAACTTTAACTCAATCCCACTATTTTTAATATTATTCATATAATTAAATAATACAAACCAATCATTCTTACACATCAAATCAACTTTAATTCACTATTCATATACTCACATAATTTTAACTACCAATCATTTTCAATCATTTGTCTCTTACTTTTACATCAAATCAACTTTAATCATTTTATTTAAATATTATTTTAATACATTATGTCCATGGCATATGGAGCTGGAAGAGTCATTGTTGACAATTTTCCTATTCTCCTGGCATAGTGCTAATAATGGACTAAATCAAAATGACTCAATTAAATTCTAGTGCTTCTTCTATCGGTGAAGTTTCTAGAATAAAATATATCAAACGACGCAACGCACCTTGGGTCGCTATGGAAACAGCCTCCTTGTATAATTACAAGGGTAAGGTCTGCGTACAACTGACCCCCCAGACCCCAACCTGTTGGGAATATACTGGGTATGTTGATGATGTTGATGATTGATGATTATTTTAATACATTCTTAAAATTCCACTAACAATTAACCATACCACCTTTTTTAAAATTAACTATCGTTAACTAAAATAATTCATTTGAACAAATTATTTCATAAACAATCAACCCCTAAGGCCACCGATTCGATGATGAGTAGATGGATAGAAAAACTTGTTATGTGGGCTGAGCCTGATTGATTCTTAATTTGCTTTATTGCGCAAGTCCGAAGCTGGTAAATAAACCAAGCGCACACTATAATTTCGTTAGGAGTGCATGTCTATCAATTGTGTCGTGCCTCAAACTGCCACCATATTCATTGAATTTAATATTTACTTCAAATAGATGTAGTTAAAAATCTTGTTTTCTCAGCTCTTATTTTTCATGGCTGTATATACCTGTCATTGCAGAAACTAATTTTCTTAGATAGTTCTGAGGGAGTTGCCGGTACTTTGCGGCCTTACTGGGAAGAAGCAACACAGGCTCGTGCATCTGTGGTTCAAGCAGTACCTGACATGCTTGAAATTGTTCCACCTGGGACCTCCAAGGGAAATGGAGTAAGAATACTTCTCGATCATCTAGGTGTTCCTCCGAATGAGGTACTTACCAGCTTATCCCTATTTTTTATCTCTAAATAAAGTCACTTAGAGTGCCTGTTCAGTATTTTTTTTCCCCCGATGAATATGTCTAATATCCGTCCTCTCCCCGCCAATTTCCCATGAATGAATTGCAAACTTGGTTACTAAAACAAAATAATAAATATAATGTGAATAATAATCGAAGCATCTGCACCTGGCGAGGATAATAATGGAGCGAGGACGATTAGCTAGTTAGATAAATCGACATCTGATGTATATTCCGGTGTAAATAAGCCCATTATCCATGATTGTTTTACCAGATAATGGCTATTGGTGATGGGGAAAATGATGTGGAAATGCTCGAGTTGGCTTCTCTAGGTGTTGTACTTAGTAATGGGTCTGAAAAGGCTAAGGCTGTTGCAAATGTAATTGGAATCAGCAATGATGAAGATGG